GCCGATGAAGACCTTGACGGGGCATCATACCACTTTCATGCACCGTCTCAGTACAGAGGTAAGAATCGTGAGAAATCAGTGGTACAATTACGGTACTCGGACCCAGAATGCGAGGCGAACTTTCGTAATCGAAATTATGATCGCGCAGACGTTAATTAGGCTTCAATGATCATTTCAAAATCGAACAACTTCTTCCCAAGACGAAATATTTTCCCATAAAAAAAGTCAAGGAGAATTTCTATAAAAACTTAGTTTTATTCAATTATTCACACTATTTAATGACGTCTGTTTTATTATTCTGCTTTAAGATGAATATCTTCAGACAAACTATAGAAAATGCTATTTCTGTACTCAATAGGATATTACCCAAGATTTTCACATGGAACACTTAATCATATTTGCATGAACTTTACCGTTAATTATCCAGCTACAATACATATGCATATAAATCTCAATGATTCTATTCCATTTTAATATCTCGGTTTACTTACTGATGTCTGGCAGTCATCCTTTTGCACAGGCTTGTTGTATCTGTGAGAGTTTCTTTTTATGAATCTACGTATGAAAAAACGAGATTTACGATTAGTAGCACACGTGTTAAATACATCTCTCATATATTTATTTCACGCATTCCGCAAAATTTGCGTACGATTTTTTTCAGTACGGTCATTATTGCATTCGCATTAGAAAATGATACTGAGAGTCTCGAATATCCTGAGGCTGATCAACGCCTAAACTTTCCAACGCAGGCCGCATACTTTGCGTAACTAGAGAAAACTATGTTGTTAATGCAATAACGCAAAGTGGCGATGAGATTAGCGGATGCCTCGGTACAACCGGTGTCAGTGTTCCACCAACGAGCGCCAGCGCAACTGCTAATCTCAATGCATATTTGCGTACCCGACTACCAACATCCTCGCAACGAAACCGCAATATTCGTCAACGTGTTTCTGTGAACGACGTGACAAAATCATTGCGGTTTTGTCTCGAAATACAACCTTAAGACAACCACTTTGTTAAATGACTTCATTTCTTTCCCTTGAAACCCGATAACAAAACGAGTGATAAGAAAATATTACAGTGAATATAAAAATGTTACAACTTCAGTCTTCCTTTCTCTACGCTTTTTTTCATTAAACATTTCAAAATAAAATTGCAATCACACGTTGGGTAAAAACCTGACAACTTTACTGACCTACAGTTGCACAGATGTTAACGGGTTTCGTTACAACAAAAACGTGCGGTTAACGATTTCATAACGGCGTGTCGTTTACAGGCAAGGAAATTGTGAATTATTTTAAATGCTGTTGGCGAAGACGCTGGAAAAATTCCGCGGTGCCGCGTCACGCTCTTCAAACGTTGTGTAATGCAAAATATACGAACACTTATCGTCTTGCATTTCTATACTCGATTTACGTAAGAAAATGAAATTTTCCCGAGGGGCAGAAATCATTTAACTTTGCTTTCTGATTTGTTTTAGATTTATTATATCACGTTTTTAAATATTTTATAATTTTCTAGTGGAATATATTCGGAGAAGTGGTAAAAAGTACTTCCGATTCGCGTTACTCTCCGTTACTTTCTCACTTCCGGTGTGTTCCTCTCGTGTGACTATTTTTACTATCGCCTACCGTCTCGCGCACGCGAATTGCTCATGCGGGATGTCCTGCCTTCCACACATCCTGCGCGAGTCTCAGAGAGCTCATATAGTGTCACGGTTCGCGGAAGACAGTCATTTTCGTCGCGGCCGTCGCTTAGACCAAGTTTCATCTCGGGACGCGTCGCACGCGCTTTCACGCTCGTCAAAGCGATGACCAACGTTTGGTTCGATAATACATTATACGGAGATCATTATACGAAGAAATGCATTGGCATTCAACAATTGTTAAAACGTAATTCTTTTTGTTATATAACTCGTGACGAGCCAAAGCTATTTTTATTCCTAATGTCCAGATTTTAAGCTTGTCATTCACTTCGGAAAGCAAATATACTGAGTGTTTTAATACAGTAAAAATGTAATTCATAGTTCTTTCCTGTTATAATTCATTTAATTTATAATAAATTTGTATATTTTTTTTTTTGCAGACATGTCTCCAGTGCGATGGACCCGGCGAAAGTCGTCGAGTTCGGAATCCGAGCGGAATTGCTACAACGTGCAAACGTCGCAAGTGACCACCGAGCGGAGTCCCACGAAAAAAGACAAGAAGAGGATCCAAGAGGAAAGGCGGAGGATCTGCGAGAAACGAAATCCTCTTTTGGACCGAGTGAAGAACACTAGACTAAGTTTCTTCAAGGACCGTGATTCCGACGACGAGGAAGAGAAGGACGAGCCGGACAAGCAGTTTCGCTCGATGTGTGAATTGAATCAGCGCGGTTTAACGAGGGACGAGTTCCGTAGATCAGTGTGTGAATCAGATTTGAAAGAGATCATCGAGGAGGAGAAGATCCAAGCGAGAAGGAAAAGGCGTTCCAAGTCGCAGAGCAGATTGCCACATAGAAAGCACCATGAAGAGCATTTCAGTTTTCTAGGTTTTCGACCTTCTGTCAGCCAGAAGGCAGCGACTTTGGCTGGGAACATTACCGAGGAAGCTGTCAGCCAGCACAGCAGCTGGCGGAAGAGCAGAGAATTCGTTCTCGATCACCAGACTGCGAGGAGGTCGAGGGATCATGGCTTGGTCTCCAACAGTACTGAGAATCCAGCGTTCAAAGACGGATCTCAGTTCGACAGCATTACACCGTCCAGCTGCTTGGCTGCCAAGTTCCGAGCGATGCAGGACAGGTACCTGAAGAGCTCCACTAATAAATTGATAGCGAAGATATATAAAAAGGAAGGGACGGACAGGGAAAGGAAAAGACTGAGAAGTTTCTCATATGGGACTTTGCCAGGACTTGAAGAGCTCAGGACGAATCCCCTTTACGAGGAACAGGACCAGGATGACAATGACTCTGGAATTTTGGATAACGATTCTGCCACCAGTTCGTTGCTGGACGATAGATGCGGCAGCAGTGCTTCTGGTTTATTAAACGGACCAAATGACACGTCAAATTCTCCACCTCAATTACCACCGAGGAAACCATCCTCCTCTATTATAGACGTAGAAAGAACAGCGAAATTGTTCTCTAGTTTGGATATTTATTGTGGGAAAAACGAAGGCAAAGCTTGTAAGAAAGACACTAGGTTGAGTCTTGAAGATTCAGCAAAAATATGCCAAGCTGCCAACAGCGAGCTCATAGATAAACGAAATCGTGTAAGTTCCAAGTCTCCAGAAGGAAAAGAAGTGATCGAAAGGCTTGATAGTAAGGATTCTCTGAGCTCAGCTCTGCCTGTTATCAGAAATAGGCCTTACACCACAGAGACGATGGTAGTGAAACTCCCTCGGAAGACTGCTGATCAGTGTTTGGGTATCTTCATCGCGAAAACTGCGGAGTCTAGTCCAGGATATTTGGTAGCGCACGTGGTGCCCAATGGTTTAGCTGACAAGGAGGGTACTTTGATGATAGGGGACGAAATTCTGATAGTCAATGGCAAGAGATTGCGAGGATTGAGCATGGCCGAGGCTAGGAAGATCCTTGGAAGTGGCAGTGGACCCGGCGACGTCGATATCGTTGTGTCGAGGTACACTGCTCTGGACCAGTCTCCCAAAAAGTTAACCGAGAGCAGCGTTGACTACGAAAACGTGCACGTTGAAAATGGTCATGGTGTTATTGTGGAAAATTCCCCTAGATCGCACTATAGGAAGCATCAGACGAAGCACCATCGCGATAGGAAGAGCGAATGCAACAGATCCACTTCGTCAGAGAAGACAGTCGTGAGCGTGGACAAAAGTGGATCGCAAAGCGTATCAAATTTTTGTACACTACCAAGGAGGCCTAGGAGTACTATATCTACGTTCTTGACCGTCGTCTTCCAAAAAGGCCCTGGCAAGAAATCCTTGGGATTCACTATTGTGGGTGGCAGCGATAGTCCTAAAGGAAGCATCGGTGAGATATTTTATTTTCTATCTTTATAAAAGTTTACATTATTGGCTAGCTTAAATAAATTAATTTATAGTATATGTATATTGATTTTAAAACGAGTAACAGTAATACATGTTTTTGGTATAAATAATATTATTATTATTATTATTATTATTATTATTATTATTATTATATAAATTCGTTAAAATACTCGTTAAGAATTATCGCAATATTAATGTTAAAGACAATGTACTAGCTTAAAGTTTATGATAACTGATGCAAGAGATGTTTAAGTATTATCTATTATGCAAGGCAACGTGTTACTACTCGTTGTTTACTATCTCAGCTTAACAGTAAATTAATTGTAATAACTATCCTAAAATTCAACACAATCACGTACACGTATAATGATAAGTTGTTTAAAATTCGTTCCCTAAAATCTCCTCGATTCTCCAGGGATTGTTTAATTATAAAAGCGTTATAAAATCTATTTTATTATTAACAAGGGTAAATTGTTTGCAAACGCAATGAGTTAACACTTAATAAAAACGATTTCAACGTCAACATTTTAATATCTTAACGCGATTTATAAAATTCTAGACCAATTTAATTATCCTGCATCTAAAAATTCTTATTACTTTGCTCTATTGTAATTACTAACAAAAGTTGACTGCGTCAAAAATTATTTCCATATGTTTGGAACAACTCGGGGTCGATCATGCTTGTTATCGAGTTCTCTGGGCAGACTGGTTAACGTCTTATCATGGCATCGCGCGTTCGGAGAAGGGCTGAGGCAGAAATAGCCTTCTGTTGGAAACTCCGGGGTCGATTTCCTGCCCGTAACCGTTTACGTTTACGCACTCTTTCGGGCCGACGCGCTCCGCTTGTCGATAAATCGCCTCCGCGTGTATACAAGCGGATTCGAGTTTTACGCGCTCGTTACGAAGCGGACGTCTCCTCAGTTCTACGAGTTGTTTTACATTCATGTAAAATGGCCGTACACTACCGTCCACAAGTATCTGAATAGTTAATAAATACTGTAAGAATTTCTGAAGATATCGGATAAATTAAATGATTTTCAAATGCAAATTGTAATATTTTAAAGTAGAATTTTTTGTTCTCGTACTTATTACAGTTTATTAAATTGAGACAATTATGACGTCGTTTAAGGTTCGATGAAAGAATTGAGAAATGTAGGATTAATAGATTGTATATTAACAGATGATACGAATTTATGTGTTCACAAACTGTGTTACAGGTATCTTTATAAAATCGGTGTTGCCGGGTGGGCAAGCCGCGGAAGATGGCCGTTTGCGCGCGGGCGACGAGATTCTGGCAGTTAACGGCCACGTCTGTCACGACTTGACCCATCGTAAGGCCGTTCAGTTGTTCCGCAACATCAAAACTGGACCGGTTGCCTTGCACCTTTGTAGACGCGTCAAAAACAAGGAACTACAGTGAGTACGGCAGTGTTGTACTGTGTTTACATACGTTTCTACGATTACCGTTAAATATTCGTTGGAATTAACATTAGTTAATTGTGTTAGAAAAGTAGAAGAAAGTCGAGACAAATGCGTCGTGTCAAAGTCACTTCGACAATTGTGTTGATTATGTAAAATCTTTCGGGATTTGTAATTCAGATTGCATTTTAGAAGATGCAATTTAAAGTGTTATTTATTTTACGTAATCGACACAATTGATGAATGACTGTACATAGAATATTACAATTTATCAAGAAAACAGAATTTGAATTAATCGCTGAATTTAACATTTCAGAACAATGAAGGCTAAGTCGTGCGCAGATCTCCTATTGGTCGACGCATAAGATTAGGGGAGAAGATTGTAAAGAAAGAAGACGCTTTGTAAAAAGTAGAAATGAAACCTAGGGTCATTGTACATATTGTAAATTTGTAAAGTTTCTCTTGGAAATAAAATTATTATTTAATAATTGTAAATTACTTGTCGATCGTTGTATTACACCATCGTTTCGCGAAACGAGGATCCTCAAGCACCCTTAAAATTACGATCTCTTTATTGTCCTCTATAATAATATAATGATAATAATAATATTAATTAAAAAACGAAGGGAGATGAAATCGTGTACAATGAATTCACGCCGCTATAAAGTATCTACATAAAATCTTATACATCCATAATAATATAATAGAATAATAAAAATAATAACCGTTAATCATAAATCTGAATTATGCTACGCGGCGCCGCGGTCAAATAAATTAATTGAAACAAACGTCAAAATGTCGAAGATTCGTTCTGATTAGACTAGAATCCTAAAACTTCGCGTGCGATCATTGACAGTCGCTTAGAATCGAGTCGAAAGAGCACTTCCGGTGGGCAGACTCGTTTTGTTTCGCCTCTTCAGCATGGCGCGGATTTCTGCGTACTTTTTGGGTACCTAGAAACAAAAAAGAAAAAAAGTATTAGTAACATCGATTGTTATAAATTCTATGAGATCGTGAATTTCATTTTTACCTGTGCCTCCTTGTGACTTCCAGCTCGACAGGACCTTCCCTCACAGCTTTAAATAATTCAATCACTTCCTGATGTGTGTACCCACGTAACACTTTCCCATTTAAACTGAGAATCTCGTCACCTGAAACAAAAAATACAAACATTCTAATTAATAATGAAATACATATTATGCATATCACTTCTCCAATAATCTAATTTGATTTCAATTAATGGATTCACATGAAGTACAGAAGCTGTTTTATTTAAATGAAAAGAGTGTGTCTCGTCTGGAATTTCGATGTACAGGTCAGCGGACGTATGGCCTTTCGGCGAGCAGCAAGGGAGACGCATCGATCTGGCACTTACGCAACCGAAACGATCGGCGATCCGTTATGCAAGCATGCGGCGCGAGGAAACCGCGGACGTTCGCGTGCGCTCGTAAAAAAGTGTCGAGAGATCGGTTGAAACTCGAAACGCGTTGCGTGAAACCTGCCTCGCGCGTATAATAACGCGTGCGTTGCCGCCTACCGCGACGCGCCACACGGGAGCCTCGGCAAAAATCGCGTAGGTGACAGGGACGACAGGCATGTACGCGAAATCCGATTCGCCGCGAGCTTTTCTTCCTGATGCCAACTTGTCTCGGCCTTTTCTGTCACACCAAGCATTTTTATTACGTATCTAACATGGCTCCGTATTTTTTATTTCCAACTGAACGAGTATTATAAATCGAAAATACTTTACACCTGCTACTACTCACTTTTTTTTATAAGAAATGAAAAGGCAATCATTTTCAACCGCAACAGCAACATGAATATAATTTATAATTTTCTGCAAGATCAAGTATAATTCTTTGAAAAAAAAAAAACATGCATAGAGATTGCAGTTATAATTTGCAAAACGACTGAGGCTGAGATCATCGACAAAAAAGTTTGTCCCCGCTCCCCGATGATCATTAAAGCTCCTGACTGCGATCGATCCTCATTTCCTCGACCCAAAAAATGAACGAAACCACCGCACAGCGGCGAGTCCCATTTAGCACGCGCGCGAGTCTTTGGCGCCGGGAATAAAGCGACGGAAACGATCCCTGCTGACAAAGCTGACGAGGCTGCCGTGCCAAGTCCAGTGGCATGCGAGCCTGTTACAAAAGCCGTAGAGAAGAAAGGACGGACGAGAAGAAGAAGCGAAAAAGGACGAGAGGTGGCCATCGACTGTTTATAAATGCGCGGCGGCGACGTCCGACGTCGGATTACAGATTCGACCTGCGTTCAACGACAGCGTGTCCACGGCGTGAATGCACGAGCGTGAACGTATGTACTTCTGTTCACGTGTCACCGGATCGACAAAAAGTTTAGACCAACATGCATAATAATAGATCCTCTAAATTAAACTGAATTCTTCGTATAAATAATCCACAGTTGGATTTGTTATATTAAGACAATGCTTGAATGAATTTTTTCTTCAATTTATTACAGATTTCATAATAACTTCAACACTTTTAATAGGAGACAATTTTTACTGATTTATCCTACATTTTAATTAATAAGTAGACTGGATTTTATGCATTTATAGAAAAATTGTGTCTGCAAGACATATAAAGAATGCTTGCCATATAAAAAAAGATTACAGTATTAGAGGACGAATATATACTGTAATGTTTCAATGGTAGAAGAAATATCTACCTAAAATGTAGATTTTTAACTAATACATATTTTATTTTGTACAAAAATCTAGTCTACTGATAATCATTTCAGAGGTAGGTTTAACTTCATATTTCAAAAAGCTGATGAACATTGAATTACCTTGAAACAACGATTTGGAGACGTCAGCTTGACCACCAGGGAAGACCCTCCTCACAAAAATTCCCATTTCACCACGAGGACTATCTCTCCCTCCGACAACGCTGAACCCGAGACTAGGCTTGCCGTAACCCTTCTCGAACTTAGCGATGTGCCTCGTCAAATAATGTTGGGGTTCCCCAGTTGACTCCAAATTAGTCTCCCCTTTCCGTTCCTTGGATAGACAGGAAAGCGGTAGGAAATCCGGCCTCTTCTGAACAGTTTCGTCCGTAGGTTTGTTCGACTGTTCCGATTGCGTAGCTTGTTTCGTTTCGTGGATCAATGACATGTTCGACAGGTTCTTCGCATTCTCCAGGTACTCGTATTCGCCCGGTAGGCTCGGTGGGCTGACATACACTTGGGGCACTGTCTCTTCGTACGCAGTCATCAAACGTATCTTGTTGCCTGTGAAAGACTTCAGAAACTCCTGAACTTCTTCCAAGCTCTCTAAAGTCTTCAGCTCCTTGCCTTCGACCTCGACGATCTCGTCGCCGAGCCTCAGCCGACCATCCCTGTTGAAAATGATTTGAAAGGTTGATAAAAAGATTGCAGACAATATAGTTAAGAATTATAAAAACACGTGCGAATAAAGATAATCGAAAATGTGTCACAATTGTCAATAATTGAAAAATAAAACAATAATAGTTGTCAAAGTTGCCAAAACTTTTACTCACCTATGCGCAATTCCATCACTTTCCAGCTGAACGACGACGTACCGCAGCTCTCCAAGCCGTTGCTGCGCCAACCGAATTCCCAAACTTTCCTTCGGGTCTCTCTTATGCAACTGCACCATCCGACACCGCCTGACTCTCTTCGGCGGCTGAATGATATCACTCAGAAACCTGGACTTGTCCTGTTGCAATCTCATCCGATGAGGCGAGATATCGATCGACTTCGGCGAGCCCTGCAACGCGTTTAGCCCGTTTCCACAGATTGGGAACTGCGAATTCATGGCAGTATCATCATACGCTTGATGAATACTCGGCAGCAATCGGCCAGAATTGCTCTGATGCCACCGGAGTCCGTCGAGCCCGTCGTTCAATTCGGAGCTGCCGGTAGCTGTTTCAGAATTCTTCCTCATCCTAGGATCGTTACTCTCCTGCTCTTGGCACTCGCTAGGAGTCGAACTTCTGATAGGCTTCTCCAATTCCGAGTCGACCACGCTGCTGGTATCGGAACTGTCTGTACACTTCAAACTCAGACCTTCGTTCTCCGAAGCAGCCGCGGATTCGCCTCTAGGCCCGTCGCTGTCATAACCGGACTCGTTCGAGCTGACATAATGAGACGACAGCCTCTGCTCGCCACTGGGTGCAGAATTCCGCCTGTGGTTTCTCAACGTGGCTACCATATCCAAGTCCACGTTCAAAGACGACGTCTCGGAGTACCTGGACTCGATCCTTCCGGAGAAATCCACTCTGTCCTGAGATTCCGGATGCTGATTACCTCGAAGGGACATCGGGCTGCTGTCGTACGGACTATAGCAACCGGTGTCCTCCTGATGAAAATTGTCCTCGATCCTCTCTAAATGAGTGGAGTTTAAACTAAACCTGTCCTCGCATCTGCTGGGGGTTTTACGGAATTCTGTGTACGGGTTTCGGCCAGGTTTCGAAGTGGACGGTTCCTGGGATTTGTTGGGACTTCCTCTGGCTAAATTTCCATTTCGGACACGCCTTCGGCCGAGGGTAGTCGTCCCGTTGTACGTATCTTCGATTTTCAATGCGGGGAAATGCTCCTCGGATGCGGTTTTAAACAGTCGTTCGTCTTTCGTCGCGAACGTGCCGTGACGTTCCTCGGGCAGGACGGAAAGTTTCGATCGAAGAAAGGCGTACGGGAAACTAGACTTCTTCGCTTCTTTAAAATCGCAGCTGCTGCTCTTTCGCATCGGCGAGTCGGTCCTCGATTGACCAAAATCGCACGGACTGAAAGTCGTCATCGACGGAGTTCCCAGAGGGTAGAGGGACGCGGTCTCGACGTGCTCGTCGAACACGTCGTCGTTCTGATGCCCAGCGAGATTGTCACAGGACACGGTCTTGTCCTTGCGACTCGAGATTTGTAAGTCGATCCCTTCTGATGGATCGTCGCCCTTCACGTAAGTTGGGCTAGTATTCAACTGACTGGTGCTACAGCTTCGAAACAGATTCTCCTTCTCGTTTGTCTTCAATCTGTCCTCGACGTTCTGCGAACGCCTGTTGCCCCTCGCGGAATTCAGCATCCCCGTGGAACCCATGCGGATGAAGAAGGATTTAAAGGGCGAGGGTGATCGGTGATACGTTCCCGGTATTCTCTTTTCCAGCTTGCTGTCCGATTTCAAATCTGGCAGTGATTTCTCCATCTTGATATTATTGTTGCTCGCTGTCGTACAATTGTTGTTGGTACTCCCGGCGTCAGATCTTTCGGATATGGAGCAGATCGTCTCGCGGGAACCAGCCCGACGGAATGAGTCTATCTTCTTGCTCATCCTCCGACCCCAGACTCCAAAACTCGAGCCTGAAATTATATACAAGATGCTATGAAATATTTTAATATAAAAAATTAATTTATCTCAATACTCAATACAATACACAATATCAATACAAAATAATTATATTAATCATTATATGAAACATTGTATTAATTATAATGTCAATCATTTTATTTTGTATCAATTTTCGTTGTAAGACCGGATGCAAATGTATCGTGAACCAATGCATCACCTTGCGTACGCAGAACCGAGATATTTCTGAGAATTCATTCGGCGGAGGCTCGCGGAGCAAACAGGCCAGAAGAACGGAATAGCGGGGCATCTCGGGTGGATGAAAAACCGCCGAATCGTCGGCATCCTTATTCGCGGTCGACATATGGTCGCCCCCAAGAACGGGCAGCAGGAAGCCGTGGTAAATACGTTCGACCCGGTCCGGCGGCGGTTCCGCGTACTTTGGGGCTACTTTTTCGGGATGCCCGGTTAACGGGGCCGGGGAACCGATTGTCAGCCCGCTCAGGTATCGGGTACACGTGTTTTGCGATAACGCAACAGACGCGCTCCGGCCGGGCCTGCGATACGACCTCGTTAACGCGTTCGCGATTTCTTTAATGCTCGCACGACACTCCTCTGCTCGTTTTACCGTTCGAACAGTTTGATAGACAGCAGATGGAACAACGACTAGGCCAGTTTAGAGTTGTAGGTCAAGGATCGATTGCATAATACTTGACGATATTGTGTCTTCAATGAATCTTTATACACGTTCGATAGTATAATAGTATAAATTACATAACGACTGTTTTTTTTATAAACATTGTAATTTAATACGATGGCGATATATCGAAATATTATTTAAATATAAAGAATGAGGAAATGTAAGGAAACTACACATAGAAATCATTTCTAGACATAGTTAGACGTGGTGCTATTCTAAAATAGTTACACAGGGCATGTATAATACGACGTCTCCAATTAGGAGGAAAAGCAGTAGATAGAAGAATTTGGAGAGTTGGAAGTTGAGACCTCATTAACGAGACGGTCTTTGCATTTCTGATATGATGAGCCCCACCTTTCTAGGCCATAACGAGGAATATTCATGAATTGAAAATAGGGTCAACATTGAGTAACGCTTTGTATCATCCATTCCAAATGTAGAATATTTTACAATCAAAGAACTTGTTTATTTCTATTGAAATAGATAACGATATTTCCATTTCATTTCTCTCTTATCAAGCTACAATTTCTAAAAGAGTAACACAGAATAATTTTAAAACTGTAACTATCAATAAAGTACAATTTTAAAAAATGGAATAGTTTTATTTTATCCGTTTGAAAAGATAAATAAATGATGATTTCTATATTTTAATTAAATACATTCGATCGATATTACATCAGTTAATTTCATTCAACTCGCGCTCGAGCCTTGAGAACGCTCGGACACTAACATTGCAAATTGAAATAAGCAGCGAGGGGATGAACAATACAATGGGAACGCGACAAGTAATTATTCGAATCAATCTTGGATAAGGCGAGAGAATTCATGATAAATCGAACGCGGCGTGACAAGTGCGATGACTTACGCTCTCATTAAGGTAACGAGTCTCGCACATCCGTGGCGTCACGATGCACAATTAAATGTATGCACGCGTTACGTAGAGCCCGGACCGCGCGTCGTCGCCTTTATCTTTGATTAATTAGTTCCTTAATTAATCAACCGCGGGACGCGTCGTCCGTTGAACGATGATTATGTTGAGTAACACGTTGGAAATTATTACACTCGGCTTTTATTTTACGATCA